CAAGGTTGTTTGTTTATAAAAGATATTTTTCTCATATTCATATAATTGTTCTCAGTAAATGATTTATAAATGCTTTGAAAGGTGTAGAGAGAACGCAAAGACAAAAGCAATAAAAGAATGAGGGTTATTTGTTAGATATTCTTCAATTTCGTAATCAGCAAACGCTAAATTAAATAATACGCAACTCAGCGCAGAATATTAAAAAATAGTTTAGTAATATTATTAACAAATTTCAAATAAATTTTTTCATAAATCTTTTCAAACTTTGAAATGTGTTTCCTGGAAAATATTTAATTGAAGTAGAAATAAAACCGTAATGAGAGACAATATTTCAATTCAAGCAAATAAGATCAAAAAATCAATAAAATGCATGAAAATATCACAATTTGAATTTATTTCATGTTTCTCCCAATCAGAAACATGAATATTACAAAGCTACATCATTAAAACAAGTTAATTAAGAAATATTTCAGTATCATCCTTGTACGTGATGAAGTTCATCAATGCAGTTAAGTAAACACTTAAAATACCAACTCTCATCTATTTTACAACAAAGGTATTTTAAATTTGTCCATGTGTATTTTTAACACAGTTAAACCTCTTGCAATTCTCAGTGAGTTTTTCGTCACATGAATCTGTTGGTTGTACCATAAACACACATCATGCCAATTTAAGTGTTTAAACCAAATTAAATAAGTTTAAGCAACCGTTTAGTGCCGTCTCCGTTACAAAACAATTAGGGATTGCAAATTCGCATAAAAGCGAATAAATTAAGGAAAACAATAGACTCGTGGTAAAAATTGACGTAGCGAAACGTATACCTACTTGAAGAAGTTGCTTAAGCTAGTGGTAGTTTAGGCGCTAACATTGTAAAGGAATATTTTGCAAAAAAATAAAAATCTTGTTACAAAATTAGCAGTTTATCTTTGCATGGGAGAATGATTGATAATTTAAGAATAAGTGGGTGTATTTAAATTAATTATGATTTAACCATGTGTAACAGGCTTATGTCTACTAACTCAGTGCATTTGAAAAAAATCGCTACAAAATGATCGTGTTTTGCGCTAGCAGAGGACGAATGATATTTTCAAATATAGTTCACATACAAGATGGCGATTTCTGTGCGATTCTTCAACAAATGAAAATCCGTTAAGTGATGACAATTTCAATTATATAATAAATTATTATAAAATACGGAAGGGTTCATCCTTCCTAAAATCTAAGGGGAATCCTTCCTAAAGGGGAAAAATCTAAGTTGGGCAGCAAAGGAATAAATCGTAGCTGCATAAAAGAAAGTTATTTTTCTATCGATTATTTTCAACTTTTGTTTTCCCACAATTCCATTAGCAGAATAAATTATGATTGCCTCCTTAGTAAATCAAACAAATGGATAATAATAAGCTGAAAAAATGGTTTATTATAGATCTCAAAAGGCTGTATATTATTGAAAGATTCGAGCTAGCTGAATAATAAATGGAAAAAGGGTGACTATGTAGAGAACTGACTTTTCCGGATTCTAAAAAGAAAAATCCCTTAAGAACTGTTAATAAATAAAGGATTCTCAACAAAATTACAATAAAGACTATTTATTTCGGTTATTAAGATACCTGTAAGGGGTGTCCTAAAAAATGCTTTAATCGCCGGCATTGAATCCTCGCAAAATGCAAAAATATGACAAAGAGCGTGTTAACAAACCACGAAAACAAAAAAAGTTAACTGATTTTGAAGTTGACTTTTGAAAAATTTAATATTTTAATCTATTTTAAAATTTACAATGGACAAAAAGTAAGTTGTCATTATTGAAACCGAACAAAAATATTTGTGTATGATTGAACTATTTGGAGTATGTATCTAATATTACGCAAGCTGGAAATAAAATAAAAACGCTTATAGAAAACGAAATTAACGACTTAACAAAGAGTAAAACACATTGGCCTTACTTGGGTGTTTGAAAGCTTGATTTGCAAAATTCTGCAATTTCAGGTGGAGTTTTTTCAGTCATCCTTTCTCGAAATATGCCTAACGGAAAAAGCGTTGTCTATAAGGCTCACAATGTTCCCAACTGACATGCGCTTAAAAATTGCATTAAAAGTATTTAAATTGAAACAACTTTGCTGATAAATGATAAAACTAGCTGGATGCAAGTAAACATTCCAAAATTATGGACGTGCGTGCCAATTAGACATCAAAATATTACAAAAAATTCCAATAATTAGACAACCAATTACAAAAATTGATTAAAACGCATGTTTGTTTTTGAACAATAAACCAACTAATTAGTTCTGTTTGTTTGGTTGACTCGTCTTGTTCGGCAGAAGCCTTGCTTATCACTACTTCGTATCTCGGATCAATAACAGGAAATAATTTGATCCATCAATTAATTAGTATGCTAATGTAATTACACACTCACAGCTTTGCCAAGTATTACTACCATACAGACTGGAGAAGATGATTTTATGAAATCAGGGAGATTTTATCGAATGTTGATAGTCTTGGTAATAACCGCTGACGGCACTTTCTGTTATGGGAATCTGAACTTTTATGTACCTGCATGAACCTTGATGTCTATTACAAACAAATTTACGGCAAACATTTTTACAGTAGTTTAATCTAAAAAACAAACTAAAATACTGAGATTGCTTGAATTTAGCCATTGTACTCCTCAGATGAAAGATTATTAGGTTGAATCGCAGAACTGCACCCAAAGCAATCACTAATTCCAGCTCAATATTATTAATTAATTTTATTTCACTTCAAACGTCCTTTATTGAACTCGGAATTTTCTACTTTAACAAATATGCGATGCCCTGGTATAAATGACCTGATATTTTCCAGTCATTCCACAGAGAAGAGATTGTGCTCTGACATCCTTGAATCGCAATGGACCGACCCATTGTTATTACCATAAAAATTCTAATTGTTTTTAAATGTCTGCTATTTTCATCGCTTTAGTTCACAGCATTAGTTTTATCTGATTTATATGCAATTTTTATGATACCTTTAAAGTGATTTTTTGAGCACACGTATATTATACTGGGTGCCATAACACCAAGCGGTGGGATTCAATGTAAGTATGTAAGAAACTACTTTTTACATTTAAGCATTATAAATCTTAGAATTCGATAACTGAAGAAGGATCAACAATAATAGCAATAAAATTTAAAAAACGTATTATTTTTGTATGTATTATAAAATCAATTATAAGGGTACGATTAATAAAACTTGCACACCGTCACTGCCAAAACTTTATTAAATCTTAATTAAATTAATTTATATCTAAAATATTATAATATTTTATTGTGTTAGTTTCAGTTTAGGTGTTTGCATTTGGAATATTTTACTAAAGATTAATTTAAAATACTTTTAAACAGTGACAGGAAAACTTAACTTAATTCGAATTGTTCAAAATCTATAGTTTAATGTAAATGCTTACATAAAAGGCACAAAGAAAATATAAAAAATAGTTGTTTGAAAAATCATATTTTTAGGTACGAGTGAGGTAGAGACTTGCACTCCAAATAAAAAGTGTTTCCATCATTGTTAAACAAAGAACAATACGCTTTTGAATTTGCAAAAGCAATTAATGCGCATAACAATTACATAACATTGCATGGCTGCCAACAAAAGTGTTATATTAGATTTCACTGCAAGACTGGTGCGCATTGATAATTCACATGTTAAAAGTGAATAATCCCTGTGCACAAAAAAAACATATTGAAAACACAAGCCAAACAAAACCCAAGAAAAAAATTAAAAAGGCTGTATTGTTTGATAATCTATTTGAAGTAGGATTCCTGCTAACGAGTTTCACTCTTTATATTATAAAAAATAATCGTGTTAATACATAAAATAGCAAAGTAAGGTTGATTAAGATGAATAAAGAGATTATTGTGTTTGCTTTAATTGATGACTCTTAGATGAGGATGTGTACATTGACTGATGAAGAAACGATTGAGGAGATGGGTGAAATGTGATGAAATGAAAGGCAACCGAACTAGAAATAATTAAAAGATGATGGCACAGAAGTTAATAAAAGGATTTTTTTGAAGAATCTTATTATTAATATAGGTCTTAAGAGGATTACGCAAACTTCTTCGACTCTATTCGGATTAGGATAGACAAGAGTAATGGTGAAGTAAATTAATAGGGAATCTAAAAAATTGAATTTTGACATGCTGTTTAACAGTGGGGGAAAGCCAACAGAGAAATTCAGCGCCGAATTGAAGAGGCAAATTAAAATATTTTATTGAGCTAATAATGGTAATGACCTCAATATGGTTTTCAATTATTTCCTTCTACTCTTGAAGGTTTAAATCGTCTTCCAAATCTTTAACACTGTATGTAAACGCGTTTGCTTTAATTATTTCAAGTAGCAAATTATATATTTATTTTTAAGTACTTTATGTAACATTGCACTATAATTGCACTGTAATTCTGTTAAGGTAGCAAATGCATTATCATTTTAATGCAATTTGTATGATGTTTTATGTTAAGAATACGCTCTGTACAAACTTACTTAAAATACTGAAGTTTGGTTTCCCGATTTTAATAATTTGTATAATCGATTATTAATTTCCTATACCAAATTGAATAAATAATATTGCAGCATCCTATATTTATTCAAACACTGGTCAATTCAAACCAACGAACTAAGAGTCGTGACAACAATCTAAATATCGCCAGCTATGTCATAATAATATTCGAATCCGCCCACAGAATCAAGACAAATATGATAATAACAAATAAAAGGATGTTGATCTAGTGCATCTGCCTTTTCATGTTGCTGCTGCGGTTTCGGCCTTGACGAGACCCACCTCACTATTTCTACATTTCACTAACATATCACGTCTTTCCCGATAAACCGTGAATATGAGATCATGTACAGTGTGAGTAAATTAATTTATTTATAAGTTTATTTAGAGGCACAAATTTGAAGAACGAAAGAGCGTCGACGAACGAAGTCTAGAATCCAAATCAGCGTAATTCGCGCGTACAAAAAGTTCTATGATTAAAACGAATTAACTTTATTTTGGTAAAAACTAATTAAAAGGTGTAAATGATCCAGACAATACAGACAAATGACTATACGAAATTTTATAACAATTCAAAAAAAAGTTAAAGTGGCTTTCACTTACTGGCACATATTCAAAAGAGCCGGCCATAATATTTATAACCGATATTTTTTGGATGAAACCTAGTGAATTAAAATATTCCTTGCTATTGGACAATTTTACTGATTTGTACTAAAAGTACCCTATTTTATCTCAGGAATCCGAGGAACATACCACTGGATTTATTTTGCAGAGGTATTTATTTCTAAGTAATAAAAAAACCAAACAGTCTTGTTATAAATTTAGTAAATATGCTCGCTAACCCTTGATGTTTTTTGTATTGCTTTTAATGTCCCCTTCAAGCTTGCTGAAACCGAAAAAAATGTCTTTACTTAAAAAGATTAGATATTTACAAACCACATTAGACATACAAGTATGGCCAATAGTACTGATTAATAAAAGATGTCTATTTGTTTTGTGTGTTTCTGGGTAGTGTCCAATACAGCTCTTATTATAGAAAATAAACGGATGTAACGTGGCTCAAAATGTGTTTTCCATACAAAAAACTCTTAACTCGAAATTAAACATATTAAAATATAACAGATACTCTACTTATTACTTTTGCACATTTTCTATTATAGCTAAAGATTTTATTTAAAATCAGTTAATCACGAAGTGTTCCAAAGGTTTTATAAGATTAATTCAATTATAAACATTTTTCAGACGGCATATGAATTGGACCTTGGAATTTTTTTTGTAATTGAAGACCCTTATTACTAGACGCTAAATTTAATACTTCATTTAATAATAAAATAATGTTGCAATTACATGGTTATGAGTAACTTTTATGGAATTTTCAACACTCTCAGCAAAATATCATAAAAACGCATCAAGCCTGTAATAAATTAAATGAATTAACTATCCAAAGTAAGTATTAAGCATTAAACCATTCATCAATGGTGTGAAAAATACGATAAAATGCGAAAAAGAGAAAACAATTATTTAATAACAAGTCGACTTGATGCAAAAAAATATCCTGAACAAAGACACAATGAAATAATAAAATCAGCAATTATTGCCTAATCTTCTGGAAACAGGTAATTAAAAAAAATTAAATGGACAAACAAATGTTTTTAAGGATATACCCTCTCAGCATTTCGGTTTGCAGGGCACAATAATAGTAATTTTTCTACCCTTTACACTAGAGATGACCAATGCATGCATTAAAATCCGTATTCAATAATAATGTTTTTTCCTCGAAAACCGTTCTGTTTATCGATATGAATCAAGAGTGTCGTTTTTTAGTTTAAGGTTAAAGCTCCTTAAATACATTATTTTCTTGCCTTCATTGTACAGGGTAAAAAAAATTAACTATTATTGTGCTGCACATAGTCCATCCCTGGCAATCCGAAATACTAAACATGTTTTCGTGGTTCCTTTTTAAGAGCGATGATGTACAGTTCATTGTGTAGAAAAATTATTAAATCACATGAAGTATTCTAAAAGTTATTTAAAAAAATTGATTCTCAGGTGGCTCCTTTAAAGGCCTGTATTTCTAGGGGGGCCCTCTGCAAATGTTTCTATAGGAACTTGTTATGTTTTTTAAACGTGCTCTGTACAAATCCAAGAGCATGCCCACATATTCCGGGACAGCCTGTATATGTAGCCGATTTATTTTGCAGAACATCCTCACATACCCAGTATTCAATCAGTTTTTAATTAACTTTCTAGCTATATATAATAGGAACGGTAAAATGAACAAACGTGCAACAAATATTACTTTGACCCCGGTCATAAAATGTTTTAATACCATAAAGAGTATCACTTTTACTTACCGTATTTCCTTCCACTTTTTTGTCATCTTCGTAAATAATGCTTTATTACCCTGATATAAGATGTTGTAGAGCGCAATTGCGATTAGTTAATAAACTGTGGGATATTAGTAAGTCCCCACTTAATGATTTTTTTTTATAAAATTACTTTATATTTTAATGTATGTAAACTTTCGTGTACATTTCATCAAAACGCTTTGTTGCTCAGATTCATTGTAGCTTATTCGAACTGGAAAATCGAATTAAAGATTTAAAATAATATAAAGAATATAGAAGAACATCCCAGAAACTTACGCACATCTAGTTTACAACGGCCAAGAAATGTAGAATAGAAACAAAAATTTCAACAAATTGACTTTCAATCAATGTGGAAAATCAATTATAAGAACGTTTGCTTCAATAAAAAATGATTAAGTTAAAATAGAACCATTCCGTTCCAAAAAGTAGGTAATTCAAGACGCATCATAGGAAGCCAAATCCGTTCAAATTATACATTAAACATATTATCAGCATATACTTACTTGATATTTTCTATAGAGAAAGACGGATCTGCCATTTCAAAAATGTTATAATACTGTGAACTTCGTTTAGCTAAATCGTAGGCGATTTCTCCATTACCATTTTGAATATTTGGATCAGTTCCTTCATGCATTAGCAACAACTGAACTATCTTGTAACCTCCGGGTTTTGTAGCTGCAATATGTAACGGTGTTTGGCCTGAAGAGCGAAATTTTTTGTTGCAAAGTAGCCGTTGTGTTAAACGTTTGAGTTAATTAAACTTTATCAGTATTATGTTTCCTTTGATATACAGATGTAAAATCGACCATAATAAATAACTAGAAGAAATTATTGATGATGGACGTCTCAAATTTAAGCACAACATTTAAGATCAATGTGTTAAGTTTTACTTCCAGCTTTTGTTGAGGTTTAAGTACTGGAACTTACGTCTCTGTCGTCTTCTATCGATAGTTGAAAATACATGGTTCAACAATATATAACATATTTTAAATTACGGGATTAGTAGCTTGACCATCATCAAATTTCATAAATTGAACTAGCTGAATTTCCACAAAAAGGAAGTAGCAATTTGGAGCAGATAAAATTTATTTCAGGCAATCGATTAATTTGTTAATGAAAACAAAAAACACGTTAATATTGATCAAGTCACACTCATGTTCATACCTCCTTCAGTGAGAGCATTTGGATCTGCCCCATTTTCCAACAAAACGGCTGCACAATCAGCATGTCCCCAATGACTACAGCAGTGTAAGGGCTGCCACTTTAATTCAGTTAATGCAGATAAATCAGCCCCATGTTCAACTAAATATTTAACAATATCCACTTTATTGCTGTAACAAGCCCTATGAAGAGGAGTGTATTGATCTGCATCGGTAGCATTAATTAAATTCGGATTTCTACTTATAATTTCCGTCACGACTTCAAGCTTCCCCTTTCCCGCCGCTTCCAAGAGGGCACGTTCAATTTTATCTGAAATATGGAACACTTACTGGCGATTTTAAAAAACAACGATCGAAAGTATAAGAAGAGAAATTCATACAACCATTCATTTTTTTTTTCAAAAAGGAAAACATCATATTCTTCAAAATGAATTTTTACAAAGTAGCGTAAAGTAAAGTATTTAATGCGTTCACACTATATGCATCAATAAAAAGGACAAATAGGGGATATCAAAAACCGTAAGTAATGCAAGAAAACTATGGTCTATGAAAAGGCTAATGTAAGATCTATTTAAAAAAAACGAAATTCTCTAATTTAAATCGTATTGGTTTTTGTCATTAATATCAAATCAGGAGTCAAACCCACTTCATTTTCTCAACATACCAACTTTAAGTCACTGTAAAAACTCTATCCGTTTTCTGCTTTGAAAATTAAGTTTCAACAAACTTTCCCCAACTTCGTACTTCCTTATTACGGCTTTTTTCATTAATCGCTGATTTCATTCTAAATTCAACGATGTACGAGGTCTAACATATTAAAATTTAGTTATGTTTCGGCTGGATTTTGTGTAATTATTATATTCTGGAAATTGTAAACACGATCTGCATCTTAGGAGCTGGTTTTGCCAGTTTTTTGCTTATATCTTCATTTTCAAGAAAGTTTGACCAACTTTCGGCTTTCTTTTGCTAACAGCTAATTTCATGCTTAATTCAACTCGTTGCTCGTTTTTTGAATTATTCTATTCTGGAAATTTTAGATACGGTCTTTAGGCGCTGGTTTTATTAGTTTTTTGCTACCACGAATCATTTTCAAGAAATCTCCAGCAACTTTTTTTTGCTTAATAGCTGATTTCATTCTAAATTTCACTATGCATTACATATTAGAATTTAGTTGTTTGGGCCGATTTTTTAAATTGTTATATTCCGAAACTTGAAAACACGACTCTGCATCTTAAGCGCTGAAGAAGAAATGAAAAACAACTAAATAGAAACGAATTTGATCATCGTAATATTTTTAATTCAGTACGAAAAGAACTTCTAGAATTTATGATTAACCGAACAGGGCGGTATTTAAAAAAATGAAAGAAATGGTGGTTTCTTGAATTTTGTTGACTTAGAGTTATTATAATATCGCGGAGTCGCTTTTGCTTCTGGTTTGATATTAAGTAACGCAAAACAAATTGACTACCAAAGGAGTTTTGTCATCATTTTGCTAGTGCTTTGCTTCAGGTTTGCTATTAGCGCAAAATAAACTAATTACCAACTAAAATCATTTACTTTAAGCATCGCTTTACTAGTCTATTATTAACTTTATTAAAATAGATGTATTTTAATATTAAATTTAATAAACTTTATATCATTTAGGGTTCCGATATTCAATAATCGGAATTTAGCTCCCTCAATTAGTAAATTTATTTAATTTGTATTTATTTATTTGTTTGTGAATTAGATCAACGAGCTCGCTAGGTTCGGAACAATTTCACTAAGTAACTCGTAATACCAGTGTGGGGGCGTTTTCTGTATGATGCACTACGTGAGGCACAAATTAAATGGCCCATGTGAAAATGTAGGAGTTAAAAATGTGATGAATTAGCCTTTTCATTTGTCTAATTAAAAATTGGACGGTTTGTGGGATCATACATAGTCAAAGTTAAAATTTTAAAAAGTTACTGAGGTAAAGCAGAGGATCTCAGATGGCCTGGACATTTCACATGGATCCCATGAGCGAGAAAGATGAAAAAGACGAACACGCAGACTTTTCACAAGGTACTGAGAAATGGGTCTCAGTGAATTATAGCGAAAAGAAGTTTCTTAAACAATCCAAACGAGATTATTATCATTTATCTAGATTGTCAATAGATTGTCCAGTTTACTAACAAACTGGGCTACGCTTCAATTTAAATGGCCTGAAGAGATTGATGAGATGGTAGTTGATCCATACGACTTTATCACCATCACAAAAAGGTCTTTTTCTACCTTCAAAATTAATTTTCACGGGATTACCAACGTATGTTGAAGTAATTATCTATTAAGTATTCATGTGCAATATGAGTAAATTGTGCATGTTTTTTTAAATTTTTACTACAGTTACATGACCACTGGGTGTATAGAAATATGTTGTGCTAAGTTGTATAAATAAGTTTTTTTTTAACGTAGAAAAATGCATATCTCAAGAGTTTCATGTCGAGCAATAGCAAAATAGAACTCACATTGGCAATTGCAGCAAAGTTACAGTTTTAATGGGACAAGTGCGCATTTTTCCAATTTTAAATAAATATGCATTAATTCTTTATATCTGTAAAGTATTCTCTTCTATCAGTAAAACTAAACTATGGTTGGTGCACTGGCAACAGAACCGATATTCAATTCTTACATACTTTAAATTTTGGTACATATTTGTACTACTTAAATAGATAATAACTTTACTCTCAAAAATGAGGGTAAACTTACCCCACTTTACCTTCTTGAAAATAAAATACATCGGAGGTATTTTTTGGGTCGAAGAGTTGGAACCAGTTCCCATTTTCCATATACGTATTTGTTTACTTTACAGTAGCGTATTGCTTTACCACCCAGTTACGTATATCAATTATTTATAACCAGATTTGTGTTAAAGCGTATTACTTATTTTAATAAATTTTCGGTTGAAGGCTTGACTCCATGCAATAATGGAAATATAAAGTTCCTCCTGGGTGATCGAGTAAGTGTTTTGCGTTGTAGATGTCCTTTAATATCAATGATACAATGTGCAAGTAGGAGCATTAATTGCATTATAACATGAAATACGAGCGGAACATTTGCAGATTCTTCGAGGTGAACGTGAAAAACAAAAAAGAAAGAGTCTTTGATGTTCTATTGAGCGTTGGATCACTAATTGTCAAGCTTTCATGTGCTGAGTATATTACAAAAAGTTACAGTTATGTCGATTATTTTGAGGAAATAACTATTAACTCCTTGTCTGAACCACAAGTTTGTTAAAAATAAACAATTTTGAGGCTTATAAAACAAACGATTGAAAATCAATTCATTCATAAATTATATTGATTTATTGTTGAATTCAATACTTAATTATTTTCCTACAGTATTGTCAGATATATAATCTCGATCGACCACAAGTTGCCGTTAATTTAACATTGTTTAAATAAGATTAACAAAAAGTGTATTTTTGCCATTTAATTATCAGTTAATATAAAAATCCATATGAAAGTTACCTGATGGATTTCTGCTTGCATCAATTTCCTCAGATACATCTTCACAGTCACTGAGAAATATATGATCAGACATTTTTATTTAAAAAAAATAAACTGATTGATTATTTACAAAGCAAAATGTTATTTGAAAATTTCGGGTTATATTAGGTTAGGGAAACAATCCTCCTCAATCGACGAAACTATTTAGCACCAAATGACGAGCTTCTTCTTAAACGATGGAATCAAACTAAAAAAACAGAAGATAATTACGATTTTGTTTACGTTTACAAACACAAAAGACAGTTAACGTTTTAAAGACCGGATTTGTTGTGTGGGCCACGCCTAAATAAGCATTTTTGTTATCAATCAATGAATTAAGTGAGTTTAATTTATGTAATTCAATAATATTGAAGGTACACTTGGTGATAGTCAGTTCCTAGTCTTACAGGCAGCATTTTGTGATAATTTGTGAAAGTTTCAATGCCCATTAGCTAAAGTAGCTTAATAAAGGCGTAGCTCTTAATAGCTTTTTAACCGATTCATTTAGTTGATATTCTTGTTCCTTTAACTGTAGACAAGAGTTTTACATTAGTTCCTATACCCAAGCACTCAAAATTAGTTACATTTCCTTCATCAACTGCCTCACTGGATTAACAATTGGAAACATTGCCCTGTTTCTCTTGTTATAGTTTTCCATGTGTAGTTGAACTGAAATGTCTTCAGGATACTTATTTCCAAGCGCCAAAGATCTCGCTAACCCGAAGCCCTTGATTGGATCATATGGGAACATCGAGTTAAAATCGTTTGAGCAGCAACAATACCCAGTCAGTTACCATCCAGTGAATGAGTACGATCAGCCATCTAGCGATCCATACTACGAGGACAAAATAGCCGATAACGTTGGCGATTTTTCACCCTTTTATATTGCCATTACATTCTGCACCATTATTGCATTTGCTTTGTTTGTCCTAAACATTGCACTTGGTTGTTGCTCCAGATATTCTGAGTATTGGAACGACAGACATACAGGTAAGGAACTAGTCCGATAAATATTAGACCCGCCCATTTATTTGTGCAAGATAATAATAGCATAAGGTCCATAGTGTGCCTGAGAAGCTTCAAGTTAATTATTGCCCCAAGTAAAAAAATAAGGCATCAAACCTTGAACAAAAAAATGAATTATCTTCTTTCTTGTGTGTTACCTAACTGAGGCTTATTATGGTTGGTGAAATAGTATAGGCAAATATTTTCCTAGAAGTGGTACGTCGGTAACAATATGAATTGAACAATGTTTTCCTCGTCAACATTAGTCCTTATAACCGCAAGCATTCTCCGTTTGACAACATATCCTTCAGCATTATATTCAGTTTCATGCTCTGCCGTTCAAAAAATAATTTTGTTATTTTAAATTGCGTGCTCTCATTTAACAGGTACCTTATAAATCCCGTTATATGCTGCTAAACACTTATTATTTTTTGTGCTTCTTTACAACTGTCCCCCCACTTATTCTTTATGCTTTGTAGAGTAAACCTTATAACTTTTTTCTCCTCATCTATGTTATTGTTTTGTGCGTTATCGTGAATTCCAAATATCATTTCTACCAACCTTTAATCAATTTCTTCTCCGCCAGTAATTATTGGATATCATCCGCTCTGTTTTATGATTCTATATTAAAAGTGGTTCCGGCTAGAAGCAACGCAAGTAAGGGCAAATACTTGCTCCCTTTAGAAAACTGAATCTACCTCGCACTCGAAAAATTTTAGAATTTTCTCAGCTCGCATAGTGTTTGAAATTATTGTTTCTCTTTTTTAAATTTTAACACCCTGTAGCTAAAAATCAAACAGTGTACAGGCCAGTATTAAAATATCAAACCCGAGTGGTCCATTTTAATAAAAATTCGTATAATTTTATAACGAAAGTACCTACATCTGCATTCACATGCAAAACAGAGTCAGAATGGCAATAATTGCAACAAAAGAACATATTCAAAGATGTAAAAGGAGTTAAATAATTAACACGAATCATTATTGAACACCACAACATGTCGAATAAAACAAATAATTTTTAAGTAGAAATTAAGAATACCTAATTATTATATTCAGGAAATCGGTGGATAGTGTCTTTGTGGACCGCAACACCACATAAACAACCCGCACTCGATTATTCCACTGAGCTTCAAGAAATCTCGTCTCAAAATCAAGTCGTTTACCATCACCCCCGTGAAGAAGAGGCTCGCGAGGAAGCAGAATTTCTAGAGCTTAGAACTAAGAGGGAAAGTGAAATTTAATCGAAATTTACCAAATTTCATAATGTTTCACGTGTACTGGCCCATGACTGCTTTTGTGACTCTCATTCTAGTGGTGGGAGCCATTATGGGAATTCTAAAATGGGGCGCAAAGTATTGCAAACTGCGCCACACCACTTTACCAGATAACGAGTATTTACGCCATAGGGCTTATGAGCAAGAAATCTAGCGTAAAACTCTTAAATAGATTATTTCGCTATATTTCTTCATTTATAACTCCACCAGCACAATTTTTCCACAACGGTTTTTCAAATGGCCTTTAGTATTAGTCAGGTAGTTTTAAGCATTAATAATTAGTTCCGTCCAGTTACTCAAATGTGTGAGAGATATTTGTCATCGCCTTACTGTTTTCATTTCGGATGAATATTGAATCGAATATTAGCTAGGAATTTACAGAATACATCTAAAAAACTAAGTTAATTGAATAAGATTAAAAAATACTACATATCTTGAAAATTTGTAATTTTCAAATTTCCTTCTAAGAAACTTTTAAAACAATGACAAAACCCAATAATCGCCTCTGACATGTTCTTAGTTTAAGGTCGTGCCGTCCATTTTATACATTTGCTATTAACAGTTTTTTATAATAAACATCTTCACATCAACGGTTTTTTCATTACGTCGACAAAATAGCTGGAAAACAGAAAAGTTAAGTTAACTATTGTAGCTAAGTAGCGATTTAAAATCAGGTTTCAAACTTTTCTAAAATAGTTATTTTCGGAGACTTTTTTCATACCTTCTTTATTTTATTTTATCAACTGATTTCCTACATTCTTATAGAAAAATTCTCCAATTATATATTCAATCGACCATAACGTTCATTTGCGCTATTGAAATAAAATCAATATCATGCAAGAATTACAGATTAGTTTTTCGAAAAAACCGAACACGGGATTAAAATTCTTCAAAAAAAGTACATATCTTGTATTTACTATTAGTAGACTGATTGTTTACCATTGGATCTAACCGACTGCAATGTACGTATTCTTTATTAGACATTATTAAGTATACATACATGGATTTTTACAGAAACATTCACTGTTGTTCCTATGGCATATGGCAACGTCATAACATAGAATAACAGAATACGCTAACATTTAACATCCACCTATCTCTAAATATGTATACTATATACTCGTATGTTAAATCATACTAACGATGAATGTAATAAGAAACCTTTTACCCACCGAAATTAAATTCTAGAGTACAACTGAACGTTTTATAAACTTATTGAGTTAAGTGGAATCCCATTTTCGACAGACATGCATGAGTGATTGATTTCACGAAAAAAATATAATAAAACTACATTATTGTAAAATTTAAATACTGATACCAATTGTCTCAACTGATCTAATTGACATGTAATATAAATATGAGAAGAGCAAACCAAATGAAAAAAATCACTGCCCAAAAGCTTTAAAGGCAAATAATAATTGCCACAATGTTAATTCCGACTTAAGCTGACAATGCCAGTATTCCAAGTAGTAAACTTAAACTACTTGAGGGTTTAATGAAGCTGCCCCCCGATTGTATCCCATTTCTTGTGTAACCCAATTTTCAAGTCCACAATATTAACATGAACTGCTTGGTACTTCTCAAATTTAGGCGGTATAGGGCAAAGTTGGTACTTTACCCGGTCACCTGGAAGCGGGATGTATTCATCTTCGATGCTGCAAAATAAAAACAACTAATTTTATGCAACATTTAAATCATATATTTTCATTTTTATTGACGTTCATAAAAATACGACTCGTACTTATTGAACCAAATCTCATGCTTCAGACGCTATTGGGATCAAGGATGTTGCTAATTAGCAGATCAATCATAGGTTATTTATCAATTTACTAGAAGGATCTATATACTTACTCTGAAATATGAACGAAAATATCTTCTCCTCCATTTTCCGGTGTAATAAAGCCATGCCCTTTTTCTCTGCAAAACAGTTTTATGCTCCCATATAAGTGGTGAGTTTTTAGGATTCTTTCACATCTGAAGAGAAATTTATTAAACCAAAATAAAAAAATAAATAAAACGAGTGCTGATGAACTTACGTCGAATTCGTTCGAGTTCGTTTGGTTATTAAAGGAGTGGGAATTAAATGGCTCAGATCGCCTTCAGACATTATTAGTACGTTGAAGAATAAGAAAAATGCTCGAAAAAACAATTAATACAATAAATATATTCAATTTAGACCAACATAGGATTTCACTGACAATGTCAAGTAGCGACTAACACAAACAGTTTGCGCTGTTGAAAAATTCCACGCAATTTGGCACTGCCGCTTAGAGGCTACGTTTATTTTGAACTTGGACAGTATTTCTCTTATATCGAGAAAATTTCCGGAAAGAAGAGAGTTGAAATACATTTCCGTATGAGTCAACATTATTTCCCATATTTAGTACATTTACGTATAAAACGTTCCCTGCATTTTATTCACATTTACACTGTTCACAGGGGTCAACGTAGTGTTCCTAAAGTGCGATTACTACCTATCGTCTTCTTTTAATATTCTTTTGGTGGTTAACAGCTGAAATTTGACGTTCGCAAGTTCTTCTTTGGGTCCTGTTGGAAAACAAGTATCGTTTTGCAAAATTTATTATTTATTGATCGGTCGCAGTTACTGTTAGGTGCCATGTCTCAACTGGAAAGGTATAATATTCCTGGTATTCCATTAACTCTTTTCAACATACTCGTCCTCTTTTTTGCAGGGTCCAAGAAGAGCTCGAGGCTCTGGAAGCTATATTTATGGACGATATATCAATAATTTACAATGAAAGGTGAGCCTCTCAGCTAAAAGCTAAATAGGGCAATCCAGTGCTCATAAATATTATTCACATTCCAGAGGTTGTGTTGATCTAGTCAAATCTGTTATATTTCCATCCACTGCCAATGAAGTGGACAAGCAGTATGTGTGTGTTACTCTAGAAGTGAAATTGCCTGAGGACTATCCAGATAGCAAACCTATTATAGCACTGAAAAGTCCAAGAGGGCTAGACGATTCAACAATTGATCATTTGCACAATGAAATTCAGAAGAAATGTGATGAATATTTAGGCCAACCAGTCATCTATGAGTTGATAGAGGTAAGTCTTAAAATTATGCGTTTTTTATTAGTCGTGACGGAAAAGCTGTTTCCATCCGACGCATATTATCGAAATCTTGAAATTCCCCCAAGAACCTTTAAATTGCTAGAAAACAATTTTTCCTTTATCAACCATCTGAGTTTTCTTTTGTATCCCCATTCTCACAGGTCGAAGCTCTGGGTTTATTTTTAAAGTAGATGGGATTTTTGTCTTCAGTTCCATTGTGTTTAGCAAATAATGTGGCTGGTATTATAAGCAACGTTTTAATTTTTATGCTATTGGTTCTTCAGTATCTAAACACGGAAAGGAGAATTATATTTAATTGGTTCTTGAAATCTCGCTTGTATATGATTTGAATTTCAAATGTGCTTCGATTGGTCCCCATCAACGTTTTAAAAAAGAGCTATCGCCTAAATTGCTTTAATGTAATTAATCCATGTGTATTCGGTTTCTGTAATCTATTAGTTGGTTTTATACATTGATTATAATAACAAGAATATGTGGTAGATCCAGATATTATTTTACGAAATTAAATTAAAACTTATTTGTATTGTACTGAGACAATTTGGTATTCAGTGTATAATCTTGCTTGGCAAACGTATAACATTTTGTTTTAACAATCAATCCCTGTCCGTTTTTACGTCTTTTATGATGTAATTTTGTTTATCTATTCATTCCTCCGGCATTCCTTTGTTATTATTCTTGTCTTAGTAAATCTGGCTCTATTACGGATTATATTAAACCACAGCTAATTAGGCCATGTCTCATCTACATTTGATTACTAATCACGATGAGTGATGTGAACATAGAATTGCTATCAGAGGGTTTTTTGGTGGGTTAAGCGGACAGATGACTTCGAAATAACGAAAAATTCTGTCCGCTTGAGTAGCTAAAAAATCCTTTCATTTCATTGATTTACAGATACTAACATTTTCATTACATAGTAGAATTTTTATTCAAACGATTCAAAAGTGAGCATTTTCATCAGATTCGATCAGAAGCAATGTTTACGAATAACCACTTTTTTGAATGCTTGAATTAAGCAATGAGTTGATCTACACGTTGTCTTATTTTGTCGAATCTGTTTAAAAACATTCTATTATTAAGTCAATACAGATTTTTATGAAATATTCTTTAATACGTTTATGTTTATTGACTTTTGGCGAACAGGTTCCAATTTATATAGGTCAGTGTCGTTAACGGAATAATTCTTTAGCTAGTCTTTGAAACCAATATATGACTTATAAGGGCTTTCTTACAATATACTACATGCGATGTGTTCGAAACTTAGTGTGCTAAACTGTCTACCTATTTTAGAACAAAACAAATACCTCTGGTGGCATAATTAATGTTTTAGACTTACAAAAAATATTGGCTAAAGTTGTAAGGCCGATAAATTCTTTATTTATATATTTTTTATCGAATACACGATATTCTGAAAATGTTTACGTTTTCCTTGATCCTCGTCCTAAAATGTTAATCAAAGAATACAAAGTTCAGCACGAAAATATTTTTTAAGTTTTAAAGTAAAAGGTAACAAGGCTCAACAGTAAAGATAAGATGGAATTCAATTTTCTACTCATTTTGCATAAACGTAATGTTTTCCTGAACCTTCGGTAAAAGTTATCGGTCGAAGTCTAAACAATATTCTTGGAGATTGTGTTGCAAACTGCTGTTTATTTATTGTTTGTTAAATTCTTTAGAATGACAACACCTTGAAATTAAACCATACGCTCGGCACTTCTGACGAATAGGGTGATTACGGCATGTAACGGTCGTATACCGATCGCGCCGATCTTATAACGAAAAAAAACTAATATTTTGCGAACTTTTTGTTAACTTAGAAACTTTAGTGATTTGCCCCTTTATAAAAAATATTATCAGGTGTGGAAAAATAGAAGATTATAAAATTATAACAGGCGTAAAATGGAGAACGTTCTTCATGATTATTGAATAGACTTTTTAACATACACTGCTTAGGTATATCAGTTATCAAGCGTTAAGTGTACTAAAGACAAGCTGAGAAGACAATAAGACAAAGCCGATGTCAAATAACCTGATTAGAAAACACATCTTCTAAAAGATTAAGAACAAGAAGAAAATGTATTTTTCAGGAAACATTTGATTGCTTTGCACTTCAGAAAGGGACAAAAGTATATTAATAGGTTTACGAAATAATGTGGAATTTCATCAAGTTTGAGATGTTCAAGTTTCCTAGTAGTTAATAGAAATTATTTTTGCTATTCTGAATTTTACTTATGTAGATCTACGTCCATCCACTCTGCAGCTAGCTTTTCATTTATAGCTAATCCGAGAAAACTTAACTGAAAGCAATTTGCCAACTTGTCAGTGTGCAGTGTGTCTGTATGGATTTTCCGACGGAGACTCCTTTACAAAAACGCAATGTTTTCACTACTTCCATAACTATTGTCTTGCCAATCATCTCATTATCACTGGAAAGCATTTCAAAGAAGAGCAGGAAAAGTTGCCAGCATGGAAAAGAAGCACCAAAGCATTTCAAGTAGATAACAATACTGTAGTGCGTAATTTGAGCCTTGTTTTAATTAATGTTTTACGGTTTAGGCAACATGTCCTGTGTGTAGGGATGCAATTTACTGTGATGTAGATGAGCTCAAAACAGCGTTACCACCCAGAGAACTAGATGATGCTCAAAAATTTGAAGTTACCCATGATCTGAAAGTGTTACAACAAAAAATGCAACAGTTGTTCAATTATCAAAAAAGTAAAGGGGGGATAATTGATATTGAAGCTGAAGAAAACAAGTTACTATTAATTACAAATTCCAACGATAGCCAGGTTGCTGATGATTCAGTAGTAAGTATACAATGAAAGGGTTGGAGAGATTTTCCAAATACTTATACGCTTGTTCGTTTAAGGATCCAGGTCCCAGCTTGGCAAACAATATAGCTCCTCCGCTTTCAAACGGATTACAAACTCGCCACCAAAGACATTATTCCAAATATACAAGTAATAGATGACTATGGCATTCTGAAGTAATTCTCAATATACTCAAGAATACTCTTCTTAATGTTGTTCGATTTTGATATTCCATGTAGCCGTTTGTGCTATACGTGTTACCTTCTTGGCGGTATAGATGTTTTTGTTTTTTGTTTTTGTTTTCTAGTTTAGGAACATATTCAATGTATCATACACATGAAAATATATGTATTATCGATCTAGTTAGAATAACATGGAACTTTTACCTGACATTTTGTATTTTTCTCATCCATAGACCCTAATAACTAAAAACATGAACTACAGCAGTTTTATAACAATTTTATTTAAAATATAGAAAAGGAATTAGGAAAAGATGGGAGTTAACGAAAATACTTAATACCAACTACAACCATAAACTTCTCGATGAAAATTTCGGAGTCTAAAACTGCGATATGTGCAGCTCGGCCTATGAGAGCGTTTGCTGTATTTGGTAAGGCATGGTGAACGTCGTATCGCACTAATTTTAAATCTTTTTGGGCTATGATTGGTTGCATTATGTTCTGAACCATTTTTCTATAAATAGTACCCTGTTCGGAAGTGTCCTTAATCGATTCTTTGCACAATTCTATTCTCGCCGAGTGTAGTGGAACGTACCTACCGGAAAAAAATGTGCATTTCTCAAAAACCAGAAAATGTTCTCTTACCTGTCTTGTCCTGATCCGCACAGCAAAATATTTTTGAAGTGATGTAAAGTACTTCTTTGACTGAGACTATATAAAAACGACTGTTTCGGATCAGAGGAATCTTTTAAGCAAAGTTGTAAAAGCGAACCGGATTTTTTCCATTTCTGCATAAACCACATACCTAAAAGGCATAAAAAGTGGCAATTGATGTGATCGGATTGAGGGAACTTGATATTTACCCATATTAACTAATCCGCTACTATTATATAAAGTTCCTAAATGTGGTCCAGAGAGAGATAGAAAAGTATGCAGTCTTGGGAGGATAAATTTAAGTTGCGGTCTCGTCAGTGCTGACCGTATAATAATATTACCTAAAGAATGTCCGACGAAACTTATTCTGGTAGGCCGAATGCTACTGACATCTAAGTATTGTAGAATTTCACTAACTAATCTGAAAACATATTATTTAAAAAAATCCTATAAAACTACTGCGTTGCAGCGTACCGATCAGTCATAGTATCAAAATCGCTAAAAGTATCGCCTTGATTTCGCTCAGACATTAAAAAATCAAGATAAGCTCCGGGAAGTCCCATCTCCAAATATGTTTTTACTAGTCTTAAGTCTGCAGCGTTACCATCCAAGCCATGAACACAAATTACTAAATGCATTCCCTCTAAATGTAAAAAAATATAAATAATATTACTTCAGTTTCTATAAAATTTGGTTTTGGCTAAAATTGACAATTACAGTATGCAAAAAACAGGGCTCTTATTTAGATTATTATAGATCGTGTTTTAGCGCTTTGTTTAGTTATCAGTTTTAATACTTGTATTGTATTTGGCTTATTTTTTCCTCGAGTTAACGTATGAAACCGACATACAATTTATTTTAATGATGAGCTAGGTATCAAAAAGAAGACAATACATTTTAAAAAATTATTGAGAAGTGAACAGTTGGTTTACGTCGCTATGAAAATACAAAGTGTTTTTGAAAGAATTCAAATTTATTAATAAATTCGAAATATTAATATATTAACAATGAAGTCTAAAGCTTATTACTGAACGATAAGATAAACTACTCAACAAAATAAACGCTATATAGCCAAATTTGCTATTAAATCTGAAACTAGAGAACTTTTTCTATCATTTCCTGTTTTTATAAAAATTAGGTACGTCAGATAAAGTTGCTACAGGGTGAAATATGAAAAAAAGCAAGTTTACATTTTTTAGTTCAGCATGCATTCAGAAACAAGTTTACATTGTAACACCAAAGGGAAAACCATAGATCTCGTATTTTGAAACGGTTTTTTTTTTCATTCTGTTCCGAGTTTTTCGTCTTGTAATGATAATATTTTTATTTGAGTGTCGATTTTCAAAATCTATGGCTCATATTCACGATAAACGTTCATAGGCAACTTAAGATGAAAATTCGATATACAGCATTGCATGAATGAATGGATTGTTTGAAAGGAAAATTAACTACAGTTTGAAGTCTGTCCGAATCTCACATTTCTGGGGCCATGATGAACTGAGCACTTGTAATGCTACCCTGTATAATGAAGATTTGCCTTTGGTCGGCTATGAAATCGGCCCAAAAGGAAAAATACTCTCACTTCAGGTCCAAAGAGCTGATTTTTTTTAAACATCACCCTGGAAACAGAAGAGACAGACRAAAAATTCAAAAACTGTAGAGATAATTATGTCTTATATCTTATCTTTATGCCCTTAGTTTTTAAATTCCAATAGAAGGCTGTTTTTTTTTTGTTTAACTGCAAGCATTCCAAACATTAACCATTTCTGCATTGTTCTATTTTCCACCTTGTGCAAACTTAATCTGAAGTACTTATTTTTTTACAAAAACATTAACTGACAGAAAAGCAGCAATTGAATATGCATGCACTAAGTACTTATTCAATTCCAAAGTTGAGGTTGATCCATTGCTGAGCAGTTTATTAGAAAGTATTTGATTAAACGCTCGATTTTTTTCTATACCGATTTATTATTTTCTTTGTGTTGTTTTCAGCTTTACCAGAGGCGTAGTCACTATTTGAATAATCTGAAAAACTTTGAGTTATTTAAAATAAAAAAATTATACTTCAGATAGTTTTCGCAAATAAATACTASTTYTTTACTAAGCTCCTGGTCAAGCTGGAAGRCAAAACATTTKAKRTACGRCATRCAATTTTTAAAAGTTTAACSAAAAACAARAAAAATKATTTGTAGGATGGATAACGCAAGCGGGTTTTTATTAATTCTYTTAAAAACAGCAGAAAAATGAGCGCCYTGTACCAATTTTATTACGAGAAATTGTTACTTACTTGCATAATAAATTATTTATTTAGTTTATACAGGAATATTYGTTAAATKTGTTTTCGSATTAWTCCTAAATGTTATTTCACGAGGRATTTTTGCAATAGGATATTMAAATTCTTAACAATGTRTATTTTCGACTTTTTMAAACTTTTTAACGTTTTTTCRTGGTTKATTTACCTGCATTCGAAAATTAGCTTTSATCATTGGGGCTCATTCTGTATGCTTGCGTGTTTAAAAAAACATATCATACATTACCTGGCGAAAATATCCGAAACTCGTCGGAGATATTAAAATATGGAACTTGGGCAGCAAATGAATTCAAATCAGAGTATAAAATCCCTTGAAAATTTAATTGACTTTTGAATTCCCTTTTCGCCTTCAAGAATGCTTTTATCAACTCCGAGTTGCCTTTGTTGAAGTGGATTTCTAGGAAAAAGTCAGGCTTGTGATCTGTGCAAATTAGCCACAATTTTTAAATGTAATTTGAATGTTTCCAAATTTCGTGCCTTTTGTTTAGAAACAATACCTTCGACGAATCAAAAGTAAATTACCTTCAGATTCAGGTACGTTTTCATTACTTTTTAAACGGGATGGACTTGATTGCTCTTGAGTATCAGATTGCAAATCAATAACATGATATAATAAATTATCCACGGCATTTATTTCATCTTCAACAACGTCATCGACTTCTCCAGCATCTGGAAGGAAGTCGGTCAGGATTCAAAATTAAGTGTTTTTTCCATACCTTACCATTTGTTGCCACTGAACTTGTTGGAGATTCTAAATCTCGAAACTGTTTAGGTGGAAGCAATGCAATGTCGTCGATGGACACTTGTGATTGAGTGTTTTGATTTTCTTCACAGCCTAAAATTTGGATAATTTAAATTCAGCCTCATGAATAAGATTTGTTCACTTGATGGTTAATAACGCTGCTTTCAGGCAAATTTACACGTTTACCTTTATTGAAGGGTGGTGGTTCAGTGTTTTCCCCTTCATTGTCCTTACTTATGCCATTTTTAACTCGATTATGGCTATCTAAATATAATTTATTTGATTTTGCTTTAAAAATATCCGCTTTTGATTCCTTTCTAATATCACTAATTTTTTGGCTCTCCTCTGTCAAGCGTTTCAATTGTTTCTCAATTTTATCTAGTTTCAAATCTATAGCACTTGTGGCAGGAATGGTTGCATCCGTACTTGAATCTATAGAACTGCTCCTAAAACGAAAGTGAAAAAACAATTCTGGCAACGTTCTTGCTTGATAAATACCTGGAAGAGATCCAGCCGCTTCTTTCGCTTGTTGTCGATCCTGTACTGCTGCTACAGTACTTCAAAAGCGAGTTATTTAACTTAGCTTCCGACTTGGGACTTAAATTTGGCAGTGATTCAGCTGCAGATGAAGCAACCAAAGGAAACAGCTTTTCGGATATGCAAGAGGTGCTTCGCACCTTTCTTAAACTATCGCTCAACTCTTTATTATTACTTGAAGACCCTGTTTTATTAAAATAGTTTTGTGAGATACTCTCTGTGGAACTACTGGTCGATCCGATTTCGAAAATTTTCAACTTTGGATCGAAACTGTACTTTTTTGATCTGGTATTTAGCAAACCGTTTGCATTGACGATTCCGGCCAAGTTTTCGGTTTTCTTCATTTGATTTCGTGTTTTTTGATTGATTAGCGAGTTGAATTTTTTTTCGTCGCAAGTGTCTTTTTTCTTGGGCGAGAATGTCTGCATGGAAGTCGATCGAGGAATATAATATTTTTCATTGGTTAATGTATGGCTAGCAGACTTTACTATATGGCCCTCAGTCCTGCTGTTACATTTGCTATTCCTAATATTCTTTTTGTATTTTTTTCGTTTTTCGCCTTTCTCAGTCTCAAAATCACCAGGTGTTAATTCGACGCGAAAATTATTCGTTTCTGGATTTTCCTGCATAAAAAAATTCCCATTCTGCCTAAAATTATATTCGCTAGCAACGTTTTTCAAGGTTTCAATCTTATAGAATCTTGAAGGATTTCGGGTTGCAACTGGTACAGAAAACGTGTTTTTGCTCAAAATATTTATCATGGAAGTATGGAAAGTATTAGAAGAAGCAGCTTGCAAATGGTCCAAGGATTTGGTATGTCTTGTGGGTAACGTGCTACTTAAACTGTCTTCTCGTTTATTCAAGTCGGAAGTTCTTTGGAATAGTTTTTGTGGTTCCCAAACATCAAAACCGCAGGAGCATTGAGCGTTGTCGGTCGTTTTTGATCGTTTAAAGTTACCCTGGTCTGCAAAGAAGCAAGAGCAAGAATTATAATAATTCTGGAGTAATTTGAACAAATTGAAGCTAAGAAGTGAGATTTCGAGGAAACACATTTATACAGTAAAATATGTGAGACGAAACCCAGTTATTTTACTACACACACTAGACTGTCTACTAAGGATAGGACAGACTAGACTGTCCAATAAGCTTCCCAACAGCGGACAAAAATACTGCTAGTTCTATAAAGTGACATTTTGTTTTAAACGATATCTATATTATAATTTACACTATATTGTTAAAAATGATTATTCTCCAAAATAAATATCAGGGCTATAGATTGCGGTAACAAGTTATTACGATTCGATGGTGATAAATAGTTGGAAATATTAGTGTGCGCTGTAGAAACGAAAAATTAATGTAATTCCAGTATTTTTGAGAAAACATGTACATACTTATAAAAAACTTGAAATAATCTGAATCAATTGGTTCAAGGTCCATCAAATTAATTTAATGTAACTATACAAAATAACAACTTGAAAAGCATTGTTTTAAACAGGTCGAATGTCAGATTTTGGTATCGTTTTACAAAATTTTCGTCCCTCGAGCATCAAATTATTATTATATTACATACTTATTTGTACGTTTACTTGTTATGCTTCGATACTTTTGAATTCTGCATCAAATTCTCCGTATGTTTCATAAACCACAAAATGTCGGTCGTAAATTGTCTATTTATTAAAAGAGGTATAATAATAAAAGAATTATATCTGGTCAAGTTGATGATAATTAAGTGATTTCTAACGATTTTTTCTAACACTTCGCGGTTGAATGCTTCTTGTGAATGGTCCCATCAAATATTGAAACTTTTTTGTCAAAAATGTGTTACAGTTAAGTCTGGATATCAATCTGGTCATTGGATGATAACCCGCCTGCCGATATTTCGGAAAATATTGACAAATTTTGTACTACTCACAAATACTGTTGTTATTAAGTACAATCTTCATACCACCCTTTGTGATTAAACGAACATACGTGACAAATCAGCAGTTGAAAATATCAAAAGTAATAAAAAATAAAAGTAAACTAAAATTAAGTCGAAAATAATCATTGTATTTAGTAAATTTTTAACATTGAAGATTTAATTTATACAGTGACATTTCTTCAACATATCTTTAAAATCTATCAAAAGTTTCTTTTCAAGATCGAAATATTTTTTAAAGAGCTAATTGGCGTTAATTATTGATACCAGGCCCGGACTTACACAGCATGGGGTCTCGATCAAGCGTAACTAAATGATCGTAAAATAACATCATACTCATACACAACTAAATTCGTACACATTTGTACATTTTATTATTGATTGTAACATTTTACGAAAAAAATTTTTTAAAGTGTAGAACAAATAAATAAACATAAACTAAACAAACATGGGTTACTGAAACTAAACCATATTAGGGTAGGTGTAGGCAATGATCAAATAAGTTTATTTGGATGTAGAATAATGTCATACGCACTTAGATTTGTTTATGTTTGATTGGAAAAGTTTGAAAGCCATAATAAATACAGTTAAATTGAAACAAACAAATAATTATACATAAACGAAACATTAACCGTTTTGATGACAACTTGAGTACTTGGAGCAGACTTGAATTAGAGATTATTAATTAGTAAACATTTATTAAACAACCTTTCTTTATTTTAATGTGATCCAGGGTTAAATTCTTAAGAATTGCTGAATTTAGGTGTAAAGCATCAAACGCAGCACCCGTGAATATTAAATAAATGTGCTTCAACTGAATATTATATATAAAAGCATACCTTTCACTTTTCTCGCTTGATATTCCTCACAATTCCTTTTTTCATAAGCAAACTCATCTTGATATTCGTCCTCAAAAATAATAGGCATTGTGGCAGTATCCCCATCTAAGAAACTACAATGGACTGGTAATGGCGGTAAAAGTTGCATATATTTTGACCTAAAACAGAATAAATCAAAAGAAAGGTAAACAGGAAAAATGTCCTTGTTCTACCTTTTCGTCAGTTCTGATATAAGCAAATATTTCTGACACTTTTCCTCATAGCAACTTAAAGCTGATTTCCTTGGATTGTGGATGAGGAAAAACAACTCTGCAAACCTACGAACTCTTAGATAGTGATGTTTTTTGCTTAAAAATTGCTGTATAGCAATTTTGCAACTGAAAGTCAGTAGGAAGTAGTTCCACAGCTTTATGTTCCCGCCACATAATTCTTCTAAATTCGACTTGGGCTTACAGGGATTTTTTCTTAAAAGCTAAAATTAATTATTAAGATTGCTACTTTAAATAGGCCAATTTGCCTACCTTCGTGCTATCATAGTCGTTATACTTAACAATAAGAGTGTCATAATTATCAGAAACAATTTCCTCTCGTTGCATCAAAAGTAACTTGTACTCTTTAATGGTAGTTTTCAGATTATTGCTTGAGTCTAGCAGAACGTTGTAGGCTTCTAAGTGTACTTGGGAAGATTCGTTAATCCTATTATTAAATTTTTGACTGCTCACTTGTGGGACGGGATCAGTTAACGTAGAACAGTGTGTTGTGCGGATTTTTCTCCAGGATTTTGATGTCTTTGGAGCGCTAAAAATGTATTAAAAACATTTCTAAGCCAATAGCAGTTATATTATAGTATGACTGGAGGAAAAATACATAAGCTAACTAATGAGCTTCTAAGGTTTGTTAAACAAGGTTTTCCAATAATTCATTTACATAAGTATATATATACTTACCAGCTTTGCATATAACGTAAAATTCCTCTCCTGAAACAGAAATGTGGTTTGGTATTAGGTATTTCTAGAGAATGATATAAATAAATAAATTAACGGAAAAAATAACTCGCAGATTTTTAATTTTCAGGGAAAACATGATTATTCGTTGACCATAATGGTTATGATTTCAAAAGCGAAGAGAAAAACCTACATGAAATAATGATGATTTAAACTGCGTATAAATGCGGGCACTAACAGTCAACAATCATGTTAGTTGGCCTTAAAAATATTTTAATTTTGTATTATGAATTTATTGAATGTGAATGAAATTGCTTTGTTGCTGAAGACAATTTTTCTTGGATGAATATTTAAAAAAAAGGTAGGGGACAGTCTCGCATGTTATATGAATTTTGCAAATAGTTTCTTAGAAAATATATGTTTTTTAAATTATGCATTTAATACATTTTTAAATATACATGAAATTATATAAATCACTGAATTTGAAGCAAATATCGACGTTTTCTAGTTTTTTTCAGGGTCAACACTGTTCTAACATGAAAGCAGAATGTACAATTTTGTTTCTGTATTAATTGACTAAAAAATTATTAATGCCAAATTATTTGGAAATTTTTTGCTCTGAGAATTAGAGATTCAATTCATTTTAAACAATTCAATCGTTTCTGATAATGTATGTACATTTGTATTACTTTGGCTTTGATTTTGTTTAACTTTTTGGCCAGTGCTTGAAACTAAGTTATTAAAATGGAGATCACATCGCAATTTTAAATCCAATATTTGAGAATTTTATTTTGTTAACTAAAAAACATTATTTATTATTATTATTAAGTATGATTTTTCTCTGTTGCGTATATTTTGATTTTGATTAGATTAATTATTACATCCGTACATGATGAATACGCTTTTATAGCGAAGCTTCAATAATCTTCAGAACTAATAGATATTATGGAAATACCGAGTGTTCAAATGAAACTGAAAAAAATATGTTTTTTTCTTAGTTATTAAAATCAACTTTTCTCTGCAAAAAATCTTTAGCACAGGGTTATAATTGGTCTGCAATATCATCCACTGCATATTGTCAGAATGATTGAAGAATATATGCTTTACTTGGATAGAAATACCCCGTGTCTAATTCACTAGAATATTCTATTTGCGACCTAACAAGTTTTACATTAATAGAATTTTCTATAAGTATAGAGTAAAACATTCGAATCGTTGAACGAATTTTAATTAAATATTTGAAAACTCAAACAATTTGGCACACATTTAGTAAGCTGAACTGGTAGATACGACTTATTTTTGAAAGTATTTAATATTATTAGAAACCTAGAAACAATATAATGGCAGTGCCTCAAAAGTCTACTGAGAACACCTTGGAAGGTACCAAACTGACTTAGTACGTAAAATATGAACATTATACATGTAAGTACAACTTACTTCATGGAAGGCTGAACTAAGGCAGTAAGTGCAGCATGGATAGTGATGGATACAGCTGATAAATGGAAGTAATCGAAAACCACAGGCAGATGGTAATGGAGTCCTTCAACTGGCGAAAAATTCAGCTGCAATGTTCGCGACGACACCAGCGACATAGCATTCAAAGAAGTATCGCTGAACCAGAGGTCCAAAACTAAAGAAAAATCTGCTCTATCCAGAGATTCTCTAAGATTGTGAGCGTCAACCAACAAATGACACCTGGAAATATTTAAAAAAATACTACTCACTGATTAAAACTAAATTTAACTGCCTAGCTTGGGTTTCCCAAAGCTCAGCACCTACTCTAATTAAATAGATTATTTATCGGTTCCAGACAGGTTTAACATACATATTTTTTTAATCTGCGTTTTGAGTTGAAACAGTTTGTCCAATATCTGCTATACCTAGAATAACTGTGACAATAGAATAATACATTTCTATCTCTCTATCTCTGGTTTAATGCAGTCAGCATTGCGTAATATCTATGAAATGCAGACGTGCAAATAGATCTTTCATAATATTGACCCACGCTATTTTATCCGTATCTGCAGGTTTGTGCAAATAGTCGCCTGGTCCTGCTCCATCCTCGCGCTTAATATCCCAATTAATCCGACCTTATTGCGGATGTGACATGCTCCTCATCACCAATAATATCCTGGAATTTTCGCCGGAATTTCCGGAATCTCAGCACTTCCTACTTGGCGTTTTATTTTTATTCCCGTCGGCGGGGTTTGGTTCCCAAAAAATCGGGGTATTTAATGGAAATATCAGCAATGTAACAGCCACAATAAAATGAATTATGCATGTAGATAAAGTATTAAAAAGTCCGCATTCATATTCTGAAATAGCATATAGCATTTTTTTCTTCAAATTGTTCCTCAAATGTATGTATCATTTTCCTCAAGGATTCGATTTGAGTGCGATAACGTAGTTTATGTACCTTGTTTACAGGATGTTCCTGTTAAAAGCGCATTCATTATCTTGTTTGTTGGCCAATTTAAACTATTTACTTTAGATGAAGGCATTTACTGCGACATTCATTTGCAGATGAAAAGAGCGTTAAATCATAGTATATTTGTCGGAATTTGTAAATTATTTCTCAAAGTTTCTGTTTCTATAAAAGCACAATTGACTCTCCTAAACTTTGGCAAACCAATTAAAATATTTTTTACTTAATTGCAAACTTATCGACCATTTCAGACGCTAAATAATTTCGCTTCAGTTTTATTTATGTCTTGTGCTGTTTAATTGGGTGATCATGACACTAAAAGTGATCGTACACTTGCGATAATATGAAAATTGCGAAATTAGAGGTTTCCAAGCGTAGAAACCACAATTAAGAGAAGCTAATGAGGTTCACTCAAATTAACTAGAACTAACTAAAATTCACTTGAACTAAATCAAGCTAACAGAAACGGAAGCTAATAGGAATTTCTCTGATCTAAAATGACTAATTGCAGATTTTGTATATGCAAATATTAGTATTAATTGCGAATAAAACTGACGTAATAAAACAAGTCCGAACAATCCAATTAATCTGTAGAATCAGTACAGATTATACAGAAAAATGTATTTGGTGTTTTTATGAGTTACTTTCTTTCAGGAAATATCAGAATTGAATTATTTTTATCGTTACTGACATTTAAATAATTTGTCGCTTTTTATTTTCCGATACTTTTAATAGCCTTTACATGAATATTTTCCAAAAAGTTGTAAGTTTATAAAAAACGGAATCTGAAAAGTCAAGACATAA